TAAAAGATCTGCACTTAAGAACAGCGAAATAACAGAGCATAACCTATAATACTGACCGAGAGAAGTGCGAGATTTTCTCTAAAATAGTCTACAAGGAAACCAACGATTTCAGGTTTGATGGTAATCATTACAGGGTTGTAGATGACTGGTACAGACTGTTTTTTAATGATATGATTCCGATTTCGGATGAGGATACATTTATAGAGGACAATTACTACGAAATTCTAGAATCGGGGAAAAATTCTGCACCGGGACATGATAATATTACCAGAAACATACTCAGAAAGCTAGACTTCCGGATTCACGAATATATAATAAAAATCTAAAACGAATGGAAAAAAGGTATCATAATTACACTGCCAAAACCCAATACCGATCACACCTTAGCCTCCAATTATAGGCCAATTACGCTACTTCCAGTAATTGCAAAAAACTTTGAGAAAGTTATGAAAAAATTATTAGAGCATAAACTGCTAGAAAAAATTCCTGGACATCAATTTGCCGCTGTTTTTTTTTTATATAAGCAAGGCCTTTGATAGTGTATGGATTAAAGGGTTGTTGTATAAACTACATCTAATGGACTGTCCCATTCACCTTATTAATATAGTACGCCTACTTCTAGAAAAGCGAGAATTAAGGGTTAAAATTGGCAATGACTTCTCCAATTCATTTGTTACTCAACAAGGGCTACCCCAAGGATCTCCACTTTCACCTTTTTTATATAATGTTTATTGCGCTGACATCTACCATCAGCGATTTGAAGACATTACTTCTCTCATACGTCCTACATGCTGCAATTTGCCGACGACACCGCTCTAATAACAAACGGCCAAACCTTGGTGATAGTTATACAAAAATTGCAAGAATTGACGAACATAACTATGAAATGGTTTAATAAATTGAGGCTTAAAATCAATGCAAATAAAACGCAAATGATCATTTTCAACCATAACATTTCCCATAACTCACCAACAATTTCATTAAATAATCATATACTCCAAGCATCACCGGAAGTTAAATATTTAGGAATAAGGCTTGATCCAAAATTAAACTTTAACAGCCATACTAAACTTTTAAAAAAGAAAATAATTACAAGGTCCAAACATTTTAGAAGTTTAACCTACAAAAACTCAGGCATTAGTATGGATACAAGCATAAAAATATACAAAATGATCTGCAGGCCCATCATTGAGTACGGATTTATCCTATTTCTAAATTGCAAAAGACCAGCTATGCAGAACCTAAAGACATCAGAAACAACTTCCCTACGAACAATCACAAAAATCCGCCACCCTAACAATCCTTTATTTAACCCCTCAAATATCCTACTCTATACAACAAAAATTCAACCAATAGAAGAAAGAATTAACATGTTGGCAGAAAAGTTCAGCAAAAAAGACATTAATTTCAAAATACTTAATAATTACTGCATAGAACGAGATCTACAATCTACACACAAACATCCAGTAGAAACCACCATGGAGAAATTAATAAAATTTCATAATGCTCCATAACACTAGATGTGCATTTTCTTTTTTTGTTAAATAAGTACCTAATGTTATGATTATACTGTTAAATGTTATATTTATACTTGGTTTTAGTTCAATAAAGCATTATTATTATTATTATTATTAAAATAAAAATAACACACAGTCCCAAGATACACGCAGTTATTCATCATGTTTCTGATTTTATCAAAATAACAAATATTTCTTTAGGTTTTTTTTTCTGAGCAGGCTTCAGAACAGTCCCACTATTCGTAAAAACTACATGCAAAGAATTATAATCTTAACAGTCGCATGTGGACCCTATACGTGTACCCAGAGAACCTGGAACAGGGGGGTTAGTGAATGACCCCAGTATTTTAGTTTCTGCGCGGCCTCATTTATTTTTTCATTGCTTAGTTACTATAAGAAATACAAAAATACATTAAATTTTAAAATAATAAAAAACAATAATGTAATAAACACAAAAAGGAAATCACATAAGAGCACGTATTCTTCAATAACCACAGTCGCACTGTTTTCGAATAAAGTGAGGTTAGCCACATGGCTAACCTCACTTTATTCGAAAACAATTGACAACTACCTGAAATAAATGCATAATATATAACTAAAAGTAGCAAATTATACATATGCACCTAATATTTAATATGAAATATTAGTTGCCTATATGATTTGCTACGATTTTTGACACTATAACAATTAAATTAAATTAATACTGACTTATATAGGTTCACAATATATTAAAGCACAAAGTCATAAAACAACACTTAAAAATTTTAATGTTACAAAAAAATACAGCCAAAAATATGAACAGGGGTCAGCAGCTGACCCCCTGTTCCATACTGTTAATATTCAATCTGAAAACTATCCACAAAACTTATTGCGCTGTATTTGTTTATATATATATAATATTTTTTTGTGAATTGTTACTTGTTTAAATTATGTTTATATAATTATTTTTCAGAATTATTCATAAAATAATCTTTTTCCGATGTATTTTTTTCCCTAAAAATGGTGTTTTTACTAACTGCCTAAGCTGGACGACCTTTCAAACTCTCCATCGCACGATCAATCAATGTCTGCTCAGGGCGAGACAATTTACTCTCTAGACATACCTTTTACTTACCCCAACACCCAACAAAAAACGTATAGACTCTAGAGCAGTGGCGGCTGGTGGATTTTGGGTATACCGATATCCCAATTATTAGATATGGGACCCCCACCAAATTTATATGAGTTTATAATAACATTAAATAATATTAATAATATATATTTTCAAAAAAATAATAAAAATTTAAAATGATATATGATTTAGATTTTTTAAATAAAATTTGAAATGTGTCGATAACTATGTAAATAATAAATTGCACCAATTAAATTTATATTATATTTATTGGGGGCGCCATTGGGCCGTTACGGCCGAGCAAACTTCAATTTAAATTCTGCTTGCGCAGAACTTGTTTATTTAATGTCATTATATACTCATATAAATTTGGTATGGGTCCCATTGGGACTCCCATATCTAATAATAATTAATATTATTATACCGATCTCTCAATTATTGAGATACCGGTATACCCAAAATCCACCAGCCGCCACTGCTCTAGAGGAACAACAAAAAGAAAAAGACGAGAAAGAACAGTCATTATTACAGAAAAAAAGAAAAGCGAGTTAAGCATTGTTCTCACCGGAGAAGCCAGAGCTTAGGCGAAGTAAACAAAAACCTTTATCACCAGTATACACCTCATCTGACAGTGATTCATATTCTGTTTACAATTAAAGCTTTGATCTAGATGGACTCTTTGCTGAAACAGATAATGATGTTAAAGATGAACCAGGATAAGACAGCCGGGGAACCAAGTTGCAGGTGGATAATTTGTTTTACAAAATAATTTCTAAGACTTAATTATTTTCAGGGACAGAAAAAGAGGGTATTCTTGGACCCCATAATAATTACATGAGGCTGTCCAAGCCAATCGTGAGCTCTTGCGGTAGATTTGTAAATACAATTACGTTTTCCAATGATCTCAATAATTTAACAATTTATTGATAACTTAAGCTAGAAACCTATAAGCTCCAACAGCTAAGTTGGTTTTAAACATTTGTTATTTTTTCCCCATGTTTTCCAATTAGTTATTACCGATTTCTTGTTCTAACCAATTAGAAATAAAATGATTTTAGGAATGGTTTTTGTTGGTTTGTTTGATTGTGATAGCTAAACTGATAAGTCAGAAAACATACTTTTAAATTTTAATATTTAAGGTTTAGGAATCTTTGTTGGTTTCTACTTGGGAGACTGATAGATAGAACTGGAAGACATTTTTATGAGAAAGTAAGAGTTGTGTGTACCTACTTAACTGCAATTAATGCCTTGATAAAGATGTTATAAATATTTTTCCACACTAAATTTTACTAAAGTGATGCTCAATTTCACTAAACTCTTTTTAAATTTCTTTGTTTTTGAAATAAACTAATTTTAGAAGTAATATTTGCGAAAAATTATAAATACTAAAAAAAATCCCTTTGCCTGCCCATAATCAGACCACACTTAAAATGTGTAAAATAAATAAGTATGTTTACAAAAATTTTGAAGAATATCTATTGGTGTTGTAAATAAGGGAATGTTCTTGATTGTGCCTGCTTGAAATGAATTTACGCGCATTGATTTCTCAAAAACCGTGTGGAAAATGAACTTTTGGAAGTGAGCATTTTATTTATCAAACTTTCAATGACAAAAATTAAAAAAATATGGTATAATTTTGAAAAACGGTTAAGACTGATTTCTGTTTTAACTTATAAGTTTTAGGTAACTTTTTATTACTTTTGTTATTGGTATATTTTTTATTAATTCGAATAAACATAAAATAGTTCTTTTTACTTAATAAAGAAGATTTTAATACTTAAGAAAATATTGAAAAAAACTTTTTGGGGAACAAGAAAATAGAGAATCTTCTCGAGAATATTGAGAAAAAATAGAATATTTACGACAATATTGAGAATAAACGACAAAAAAAAGAAACGTTGACAAAAAACGTTAAATGGCCTAATTCTGCTATGCTGATAATACATTCTTAGGAATTTCTTGTTAGTTTGATAGTTTTTTATTGTTTCTTCTCCTTTGTGCTAAATTTGCTTGGTCCAAAAATAAATGATTAAGCAATTAATTACAAGTAAGAAAGGACGAAATTTTGCAAAAAATTATATTTCTTGAAAGGGTTGAAATTAAAAATAATCGTAAAGGCTTGTCTTAACCAGTACCAAAGGAAAAATTAGAGGAAATCGGTGTCCGATTTGGCGTGGAATACCATATATTTCAAACACTAATAACTAATTTCCTGGGTCTCCAAAAACTACAAGTCAACTAAAATAATGCACAAACTTTGTTTTGAGACAATTTTCAAAAAATGTGCCTTAAAACACAAAAAACACCAAACAATAAAAAATTTATTACCAACTCAAAAAATACACTGAAAAACCTAACCTACAAAAAATTACCTTCAGTAGTGATCCCAGAGACAAAATCCACCATGAAATTGTTCTCTTTTTTGACGAAATCTGTCAACCCTGCACCGTTTCTCAGATAACCGTTACACATAGGTTGTTGATGTGTTGTATCCAGTTGTTCGGTTTTGACTTCCGGCGCGTCCAAAAACTCGTCTTTTTCTTCTTTTAATTCCGACGAATCCATTTGTATTTCGATAATATTTTCGCTTATTTTTTCCGCGTTTTCTTGCTTTATTTCTTCTATAAAACTTATGCTTTTTTCGTTTAAGTCGTTCATTCTGTTTATGGCACGGTTGTTCACGTATTCTATGCGCAGAACGTCGCGTAAGCTTGGTAACAACGCGACGGGTTTTCTGTAGTGGTATTTGACCATTTCGGGGATTTTTACAAGGCCGCGCGGAGCTAGGCGGACTTTCGTTTTGAAGGGGGGATTCTTGTTGTGCACGCGACGAAAAAATTCAATTTTTACCGAGTCTTGGTCGACGGGAAGTCCCGTGAATCGGTCCCACAATTTCACGCGTTCCGTTGCAGATACGGAAGAAAGAAGTTTTGTGTCCTAGAAAAAGAAAAAAAATTTAGATTATCTGTTAGTTCACGCTAATTTTGTCTTATTTTCTAAAAATAAAACAATATACATGTGTCGCACTTCGAGGAAAGAAATATTCCCAAGCAGCATTTAAAGTTAAAATAACTACATGGTTACTCATAAGTGGACTTAAAAATTATTTTTACAGTAAACTAAAACGGTAAAATAACGGTACAAATACGAAAATTTACCAAATTTGGAAAATGAGAAACACGTTATTTGTGCCCCCTAATAAAATAAAACAAATTAAATATTAAAATATTAAAATATTTTCTTTGCTTCTTTAATTTATATTTTTAAATGGTATACCTAAACATAAAGAACAATAATTAAATTTAACTTATATTGACAAAACTAATTATACGAGGGTGGTTCAAATATAAACCGGAATTTTTTAAGAAACGCGAAAAATTTTGTGTCGTAAAAGTGGCTGCACTGGATGTTAGACTGGTCTGTTACGAAGCGTAGAGAACAGCCGGGACCGCGCAACATCGCTTTTCAGTGTAGTAGTCATGAGCCATGAGCGAGAAGGATGTACCAGTGTCTTTTGCGCAACGCATCATTATTCGTTTTTTGGTCAAAGATAATGTAAAATCCGCGGAAATTTATCGAAAATTACTCGAGCAGTTCGGGGATGAGTGCCTCTCCAAGACTCAAGTGTATGAATGGTGTTCCGCCTTCCGAAATGGCCGAGAAGTGATGGCAAACTTGCCACTTGCGCGGCGTCCCAGAACAAGGTGTTGTGTACCGTGTTTTGGGACATGAGAGGAGTCATTGCGGTTGATTTTCTTACTAAACAAAGAACTGTGAACGCGCAGTATTATAGTAAACTCCTAAAAAAACACGGTGAAACCTGCCTACAGATCAAAACGACGCGATATTCCAATCCGTAGTGCGATATTGCTGCAAGACAAAGCCAGACCGCATACAGCTCGGCTTACGATGAAAACATTGAACGAATTGGGTTGGGAAACACTGGAATACCCTCCTTATAGTCCCGATTTGTCGCCATGCGACTATTATTTATTTGGTCCATTGAAAGGGGCACTTGGCGGACTGCGATTCGAAAGCAATGTGGATGTAGAATCCTTCGTGCGCGAATGGTTACGTGACAAGCCGAGAGACTATCTAGAAATTGTAAAAAATTTCAGCTCTGTAACTTAATAAAAATGTTTATAGCAAAATTTCGGTTTATATTTGAACCACCCTCGTATTTACGTAGGGTAGCCCAAACTAGATTCTGGTTACCTAGTACCTTTAGCTGCCAAATCTAATACCTGTTATGAAAAAATATAATACTCCTTATAAGATTTCTCTATTAGTAGCTAACTAGTTCATAGACAGTATGAACTCGGTTTTGTTAAAACTCTTGTAACAGTTATTAGACATACATACTATTATCTCTTATAAAATCAATATGCTGCCACCATAAAATGATATTGTAGTGGATATAATCAAAATGTTAAATACTATAAACCCGCTTTATATCTAGTATTAAATGTTTTTAGCCAGTATAACTTCAAATTGCTAAGTGTATTTGAAAATTCTTATTTACTTTATGTAGTGGTTAATACTTTTTACAAACTCTGTTTATTCTTTTTATTAGCAATTTAGTTACTTCAATAAAATATGTCTTATAGACGAAATTATGCATTTTTCATAAGAATTATTGTACTTACTTGCTGACAAGATAAGGGTAGTTATATAAAAAGTTCAACTTTTATAAATTTTATACTTTTATTATAAAAAACAGGTACCAGAATTAAATAAAACATAAATAAACATAATTAGGTATTTAATAGTACAGAAGTAAATCAAAATTTTTCAAGAATGCCAAGGGAGAAAATAAAACAAGCGTAGGAATATTTCTACTTACAAATCCCCACAATGTTTCACTGCAATTTTTTTAAATTATTATTTGGAAAATGTATTCTTTTAATTTTTAATAAAATCGTTTGTTTTGTTTTGGGGGCTATTTTTTAATAATTTTTATCATGATTTTTTATTAAAATCCCTAGATTAAAATCATGATTTAAATCGTTAATTTTAATCAACTAATTAAATTAAAATATCAACCTTAAAACAAAGCTCTAAGTATTAAACTACCTATCTTCAAACTACTATCCAATAAATGGAAAAACGGCGTGCCATAAAATACATTATTGGGGAACATAGGTATAAAATATATACAGGGTAAACCAAGTAAGGGGACCCATATACTTATCTCAGAAACTACAGTCCCAAAAAATTTGTAGAGAACAAAAATTTATGTAGGTAGTATATTTTTAATATTATATTAATATTGTTATTATATATTAATATAAATAAATAAAATATAATTTAATTTAAAATATAAATAATAAACAATTTTAAATGTTAAATGTTCCCATGTCCACACTTCTTAATAATGTTGCTCTTGATTGGTTAATTTTTACAATTTTTGATATTATTTTTGTGACTCCAGTAGTTTCTAAGATACCTAAGTATATCCTTGTAAACCACGTAAGGTGACCCTTTTAATATATTGTACTTATAAGTAGGGATGCACCGGAATTCCGGCGATACCACTAAATCCGGCCGTTCCGGCCAGTTGGCCGGAACTGCCGTTCCGGCCGGATCGCTTTCCAGATATATTTTGTAATTGGTCAACAGTGAAGGGTGTGCGTGTTTCCTTGCCTATGATAGACCGGCGGCTATGGTTCCCCGACTTCTTTTTAATTTTTTTATTATTGGCAGGTGGCTGCTATTCTCCAATTGAATGAGTAGAATTGTTTTAATTTTGTTAACGCTAATTAAAAATTAATATTTAAATAAACAGTAATTTCTATCTAGGTAAAATTAATAGTAACACTCTGCATACTGTAGCTAGTTTAAAAAAAAGTAAAAATAAATCAGCCTCAATATTTTCAATGTTTTACGTATAAAAATAGGCATGCACATACATTTTAAATTTAGGTCCCGATCCGGCCGGAATTCCGGCGATCCGGTCCGGCCAGCGGCCGAAATTCCGGTTCCGGCCGGATCGGCAAAATACCCGATCCGGTGCATCCCTACTTATAAGTATATGGGTCACCTTACATAGTTCACCCTGAACATTTACGTATATGATATAATGTAAAATTAATAAATTATTATAATGGGAATCAATAAAACAGTTTTCGTGTACCTGCATCTGCGTGCATGTGCTCTGCTCATTGTGCTGTTCCAAGATCAAGCTATACACTATGGCATATGCTATGATAATGTATAATTATTACAAAAACTTACCCTTAACAATTGCCAACTATTAGAGCCAGCAGATGTCACAACAAATAAACAAAACACTACAGCCACACACTTATTCCTTGCGGTCAGATCGCTTCTCTCCTATAGTGTTCCCGCCAAAACAATGCACCATGCGCATGTGCGTAATAGCTTGTACCATAGAGTATAAAGACAACTGTTAAACAGTATAAGACATATTATGGTTCTTATAAAAAAAATTATAAATTAGAATAAATGATATCTGCAAGAAAACATTTCATAAACAATATGCAGCTAGATTATAGCCAGTATTAAACAACTGGAATAAAATCAAAATTATAACAGTTATTACACAGCTTATTGTCTTCATAAACGAATGTGATTCTAACTAAGCATCCTCTTATTGTCTATATGAAACTCATCTTGACAATACTGGTTTATAGAAACATTTCATTCAGTGTGTGTGATGCGGCTTTGAAGATCCGCGCATTCTTTAATTTTCTGCGGTGTGAGATCCAAAAGGGATATCAGAATTTGAGGTTAGGCAATCTTAAATTAATCTTTTCTTTGATATAAATAACTCCGCTCCTAGATAAGTTTTGTCCATTTTTGTCAGATTTTTATGCAAAGCTTAGAGGAATGTTTAGTTTTTTTTTCTTCTTTTAAATTACTAGGTCGCATAAATTTGAGTTATATTTTAACTGTTACCAAATGAATGAGAAAAAAACTCTGAGAAAAAAATAAAAAACAAACAAACGCGTTAATTTACATTGTAGCCAAGCTAATAAAAAGTTTGGGCTACCGTATGTGAATTGACTGTATGATACATCACAAAAAACCTATGCCCTCTAAATATTTTAGTGTTTAAAAAATATATATGACTTATGTACAAAATAAATAAATCCTAATTATAATATAAAGCCTTAAAAAATCATTTAATTTGAATTCCTTTGTAATGATTAGACAATTATATTTTATTATTCGGAATTTTCTCAATTATTTTTCAAAAACCCCTTGTGGGGCACGTGTTCCCTTTGACCGATTGATCTAAAATTTTGCGCGTCTGTTAAATTATTTTTATTATATACATAATCGGTATATATTACAACAGTTATGGTAAGTCTGGGTCAGCTGCAGTCAATTCAGGTTACCAAATGTAAATTAATAAAATGAATATGTTTTTGTTTGGGGAGTGCAAACCTAAAAATTATTAGTCTTAACTCTTCAACAATAAGAGAATATTCCAATTTGATAATTTAGTCCAGGCTACTTATACGATTTTAAACTTAACATATAGGAATTTGTACAAGGCTTTTGAGTGTGGACTTTTGGCAAGTTCTAACCAAGCGTGAAAAATCCATCTTGCCAGCACTTGATTTTGGAACAACCATAAGTAACCTGGACTTGGCCTGGACTAAATTACCATTAAACCAGCAATCCTAAATAATTCATAATTAACAAACAGTATTTTTACGCTAGAGCGATACTGCCGTCCTAAGCCAAAAAGACGCATCTCAATATTTTTATTGCGCTTTATTTTTTTTCTTAAGATACGTTCAAATTAAATAAATTTTTAATAGCTATATAGTACTTAAAATATATATGTATAGTTAAAATGCGTCTTTTTGCTAAGAGAATAAGTTAATAATAATAATAAGATGCGTCTTTTTGGCTTAGAACCGCAGGATAGTCAATACTTACAAATTGGTTACAACCATTAACACGTT